CCCTTGGAGTCACCAGGAACAATGGCCACAAGCTGAGGGAGGATAGGTTTAGGTTAGATATTAGGAAGAACTACTTCACTGTAAGGGTGGCCAGAGCCTGGAATAGGCTTCCCAGAGAGGTGGTGCTCTCACCTTCCCTGGAAATCTTCAAGAGGAGACTGGACAGGCACGTGGCTGGGGTCTTATCACCCCTCCCGCCCCCAGTGCTCCTTCCTGCCCATGGCAGGGGGTTGGACTAGATGATCTGTCTAGGTCCCTTCCCACTCATTGATTCTATGATAGCACTGAAAGGACTTTCCTTACAGTCATGCAGGGAGTCTCCAACAGAGTTGAGAATGGACTAGGTCACCTGAAACCAACTGCAATACTGTAGCCACTGAACATGAGAGTTTTTAGTGCTAAAACTCTCCCAAGTGCAAATAAACTAAAGACAACTTACAGAAACACAGGCAGTAAGAACATGTTTCACTCACAGCTCCTATTTTAGCCAAGTTATTGGTATATTATGCTTGCGGGCTGATCGGAGAACATCCTCCATAGTGCAGTAATGGTTCATGAATTCCAAACACCACTTCAGGTTACAAATTTCCCATTAATGCCAAGTTTGCTGTTTTCTGCCAAGTGGACATGGTAACACATCCTTGCCCGTATCGATACAAGTGTCTCATCGCTGCATGTTGAACCCATCATGCATCAGGAGTTCCTCACAACCACAGAGTTCAGAATAATTTAAGTCTAAGTTTAACTTAATCATTACCTGAAGTTCGAAGTTTGCCTGGTCCAGAAAGAACCGGTTGAGTACAGATGTAAATTGGTTCACAGCTCGAAGGAAAACCCTGGAAAGTAAAACGCCACATGTGGAGTTACCCATGGAGGAAGAAACAGCACAGGCCTAGATTTACTGCTTCTTCTCTGTAAGCTTGCAGAAGCCAAAAATAAGTGACATCAAGAAGTGAAGCTCTTCCAGCTCATTCCTTCTATTTCATCTCCCCTTCCATCCAGAGGCACTCAGGGAAAGGTACATGTCTGCTTCTAAACAGAAGAAACCCTGATCTAGGATCTATTTGGTTATCTAGTCTCCAGGTCAAAGCAGCAGCATCCCACACAGTGTATTCACTGGAGGTCCATCTATCTATGGTACTTATGGCCACCGTTACAGCACTATTGGAACAACAGCAAATGTCTCCATGTAACATCCTTTTACAGATGTGGAATTGAGGCAGAGAGGCTAAGTTCCTCACCCAAGGTCTTTTAAGAAGCCTGTAACAAAAGAGAAAGATAAAACTGACTGTTCTAAATCCCACCCAGGCTAACACAAGCACCCCTAAAAGCATTCCCTTTTATCCAGCTTCGTTTTATTTTTTCCAGTTAATTACAGGAGCACTTCCCTTGCATTTAAAGCAAAGGGGCTTCTTAGATGTACACCAGCAACTCTGGGAGAGAAAGAACATCTCTTCACAAAAGACTCCATATTTTTGCATAGACTTCCTCAAAAAGAAGACAGTTTGCAGGTTGACAAATCTTCAGAAACAGTCCACTACTAGATACTGAATCAAACCTAACTTATGTCAGCCTGAACCTTTTGAGGAAGATAACCCTGAATATTCAAATGACTGGCAGCAGTACTGGTGCAAAAAAAAAAAAAAAATTGCCCTCATCACAAGCTGATACAGTTCTGAAGCAGTCGCAAAAGCCTTCAAGTAAGAGTGGTCACAGGTACAAACCATTTACCTGCTTTGCATCATGTTCATGACCATCCAGTCATGTGCATAGACATTCTTTCCAATCAGATCCTTAAACATAATGAAGGTTTCCATGAGGAAGTCCTGCAGAAAAAGTACAGCATGGAGGGATACAAGAAACTGGTCAGTAATCCCATGGAAGTACAGGAGGATGCTAACATGTACAATGTCAGACTGTTGATTATTGATCAATATGCTGTGCTTTTGAGAAGAATCATTTACTGTGGGCTGTCTCACTTTAATTAAATTATTTTTGACATCTCATCCATTCAACTACAAAAGGCAAAACTAGTCCCCCAGCAAATCTATACCCTTCATTTAATTAAATCTGTTCTTTTTGTTGGAAGCTAGACTTTATTGTGGGGGCACCCTAATGCATAAGGACCACAACCATTTAAAAGCAAAACAAGAGTTCAAGGACTTCTGCCCTAGTGCTTCTCTCCAAATACATGAAGGGGAAACCAACATAAGGCTACTGAATTATCTTGTACACAGAACTAGAAAGGGCTTTGTCATTCCCCATTAATGCATGTCTTGTCTAGTCTACAATTTAGAAGAATATTAGAATGCATTAATGAGCACATGTTCAGTTTCAAGTATCTAGTGCAGATACGGCAAGACACTATTAACCGATGCTAAACTGTTCCATTTATAGCTATCACATCTTAAGTTCTAGCCTACACAAGGCACAAATGCCGAGTTGCAGGTTGAAGAGCGGGATCTATTTAAATACAACAAGTTGGACTAAGGGCAAACTTCATTTTGCAAAGTGTCAAGGCCCACACCCGCCCTTTATGGTGATTCTCTCCTGTTCTGAGTAGGTGGCATTCAAGTACTACTGAAGGGCACCTGAGAAGTCACTGTTCTACAAAGGTCACCACCAACAACAAAAAAAGCAATTGCTGCCGAACTAAGCAGCATACTCCAAAGAGCAGGCAGGTAACAGTAACGCAGTGAAAAAATAAACATTAGTACTGCCTCAGTAGGAATGCCTTTAGGCCTTATTAAATCAGGGAATGATGGAAAGGTTTCAGCTTGACATGGGCCACCTTGCAGACCAGAATTCTCTCAAAACTACATTAACTCAAGCAGCAACGTTGCAATGTCTGAGCTGAAGATATCACAAGGAAATGATTATTTAAATTGTCTGAGAAAGAAAATAAAACAGTGTTTCCTTTGGTAATATTTGTTAAATAAATTCATGGACATCTTTCCTGAACTGGGGATTCAGTGACACCATAAGGCTGTTCAACAAACTTTTCTTAGTTCTATCAGTTTTGCTGCCCTTACAGTCTTGTCCCAAAGAAAAAAAAAATGTTTCTAACTGACCTTGACAAAAATTACTCCACTGACTTTTGATAAGGCTATTCCACTTATTTACATGATCTTGCTTATTCAAATGAATATTTTGCAAGAATTCTCTCAAAAATCACAAACTAATTCAAGACTTAGTTGCTGAATACTGTCCATCTACTATCCAGCTGAGTAGCTTTCAGTTTAGAGGTTTACGTGACAAAAATGCGTCTCTCCTGTAGATGGCCATATTGCTCAACAGATCAGATGCGATTATTTATAACCAACCTTGAAAGCACAAAAAGCACCCAGCCAAGCACACAAGAGATTCTGACAGCAAATGCAGAGACATCCAACTGCACCCTCTAGCTAATCCCATGTTCTGAATAAGAATACCGGACTAAGTTTGACAGTAAATGTCAGGAAAATCAAAAAAAATCAAAAGTTGTGTTTGTGTAGAAGAGTCACACCACAGAGGTTTGTGCAAAGGCTTCCTTGGGTTGGTATATAGGGAGGGGCAACACCGATTTGATTGGCACTGTAGCTTCCACAGGCATAAAAGCAAAGAGTAAAACTGTTTCACCAAGTTCCACGCTGGAACCATGCAAAAACCAAGACCTGTTTAGGGTTTTAACACCAAGGTACAATTTGCAATGCTGCTTAGGGACAAGGGACAGTTCCCTTTGATTTTAATGGGGATAGAGGTCCAGTTCCCTTAAGAAACTTTAAAATTGCAGCTTCACACCGTAAACAGGGCCTAGATTCTCCCAGGCTTGATCAGTGTTTCTCCAAAAGGTGCATCATCAACATTTTCATAGCACAACAGTACTTAAGGTCTTTCAATCACGCATCAAGGCCCCAGTGCTAGGTGCTGTGCAAACAAAAGGATGGCTCCTGCTCACAACAGCTGACAATAACCTGAAACTTATAAGAAACCCAATTTGAGTTCTGAATTTAAAACAAACCCCCAGCGCAGCCCCAATTTACTCAGTATGGATTGTGTGGCAACCACACCAAGTGGATCTATTAATACCTCACATTTTCAGAAGTTTAGCGATTGCCCCAAGCTTGCCAGCTTTTCATACGACCAAATAAAAAGGAGAATCCAAGCTCCTAGCTCAGCTGCACAACAAAAAAACCCAAAAGACCAAGAGATGTAGAGAAATCAAGAACCCAAGTATAAAAAGGCAAAAAGGAAATGGAAAGTAAACCCACCCCCTATTCTTCCCATCCTTATTCTCTCATTTAATGTTTGTCCCCACTTTCTCTCTTACACAGATTTAGATATCCATAAATCATTTGTTTTCACTCCATGTAGCCATGCTAAGCTGCTGTTCTGCTGAGGGAACAACAGCCAGTGGTCCTTCCACCCAGCGGGGGCAAAGTAAGTATTTGACTAAGACTTGAAGCACTAGACATGAGGGATGGGTTCTGTAGAAGAACCTGAACTTAATGCAATAGCTGGAAATGATAGCGTTTGATGCTTTATAGACTGGGCTACAGCCCCAGCCAAGCTGACTTACGATAATGTCTTGTCTGGTTTTGAAAATGCTGATGTAGTGGTTATAATGGAAATCGTCCATCTGTCTCAGGATGGCTGTCATGCAAGCTACAAAAATACCCTAGAACAGAAAAGTTAAAAAAAAAAAAAAACACTTGGTCAATTATCTTCCTGCACAAAGGCCCCCAAGTCAGCAAAGTACTAAAAGCACACACTTGACTTCAACCACATGAAATAATCTCGACTCTGAACAACACGTTTTCTCCCTGCAGAAACAGTAATGTGTAGCTAAGTTTCATGGATGCCTGAGAGCGCATATAACTTTGGAAGCAACCTGTCAGAGGGCTTAAGCTTTAAACCCACCTTGGAGGTGAGACTTACTACTCCTTCAAGCACTGACATTTTGGAAGCGGAGAGGAGATTAAAAGTAAATCCTTTTGCTCCCAATAAAGGAAAGTAGCAACTTTAAAAAAATAGAATGGTTCACAGGGCAATAGCTCAACCTGGTTAATAAAAAGTGTCCTTCTACAGAAAACAGCATTACACCTCACCAACCATTTGATAATTCCACTACTGCTGTGGAAATGGCAATTCAGGATGCCCCCAGACCCACCCATATATAACAGGTTTGCTACCGTACCTTCAAAGTTTTTACCTAAGCACAACTACAAGAAACTATTTCTCTGAATTAAAGCCAACATCAAAGCCTCAATTTGTAAAATTAATTCAGTGTTGGCCCGAAAGCCCCAGATTCTCGTATCCATCCATACACAACGGCATGCAGGCTGGAGGAGAGGTAAAAGCTTCCCCTTCCTTCTCCCACCAACCTGCTCTCCTTTCCAGACTCAAAGGGACACACCTACAGATGAGGGTACTTCATGGGTACCAACAAATTACCAGTTCTGCAGTATGACTGCCCGTCTACTAGGAACCAAGACAGACGGTAAAAACTTTAACTCATTAGCGACCAGGATTTGATTCAAGACTGGGTGTCTGAGGAGAGAAGTTCTAGATCATTTATTAATTGCTAGCGCAATCCCAACCAGTTTTAATAGGACAGGAAGCATCCCACCACCAACTGCAGAACCACATTATGTTGCAGGAAACACATTTTTAATAATACATCAGTATGCACTGCAGTCCCCAAGAGGACAGACTACAGTGGAAGGCACCATTTTGACGAGGCAAGGGAAGAAATTAAAGAACAGAAACAAGTAGAAGACTCTCACGCTATGTGGAGACTGTCTGCTCATTCCAATCACTGTCCGGTTTATTCTCCTTAGCAGACGTTCCATGATCAGTTGGATGTGAACTGCAGTAGGCCCCTGAGGATATTAAACAAGCACACGCTGTTTTAGCTCAATCTTAGCATGGCCTAGTCTATAAAAAGCTTTGTGTACACAAAGGCCAAGCTGACAGTGGCTATTTATTTTGAGAGGACCCTAGGAGAAGGAGATTCTTTGTACAATGGATTTAAATACCTAGAATTTTGAATCTGTGAAGGACAAATTCATCCCTCCATCCAACACAGAGAATATGACAGGAGGTGCTGCATCTTTCCTATGCCAGGGTCAGACTGGCATACAAGTGTTGTCTTAGTAGAGGAATCAGCCTCTCTGGGGCTGACGTAGCCATATCTACTAGTCTCACCTGTCCTTGAATGCTCCCTGCCCTGGGTATGACAAAACACAGAGATGACAGTTGCTTGTGCTTTTGCCTTCTGCCAGAGGAATGTAATAAAGTTTTGAGGACAGCCAGTCAGTGACAAGACCAAACTGAACTTGCTTCTTGTATTTATCAATCCCCTTTTCTCCCCCTTTGCAAACTGGCCACCTCAAATCACCATATTCTGAAGCACGCAAGAATCAGCTTTTACTACCATGCAAAGCATTATTAATAGGAATGCAGACAAAGATAAATGGTGATAACTGGCATCATTTGTATTTATGCAGCACTTTCTGAAGTCAGCATCTTTCACCATTCTCTTCCTCACAAAAAAGCAAGCACCACTCCCTTTTCAGTTAAGAAAACAGAGATAAAGTGACTTGCTCCAGGTCACAAAGCAAGTCAGTGGCAGGATTGGGAGCAGCACCCTGGTCTCGGGCCAGGAGAATACTTGGTCTTTTCATTAGTGTAGTAGCCAGGTTCCATTTTTATATCATCTAATTTATCTTTGAATAAACTTAAAAAGGCAGAAAGAGCAAAATTTCTGTCAGTCACTGGGCTTACTAACCACGTAAACTAACATAGGAAACCCAGTTTCTGTTCCAACCTAAGCTAGGGTCACCTCATTGACTAAGGAGTCTCTTTTAATTTACACCCCTGAAAATACAAAGAGAGCCAAGCCCATGCTTACCACATTCTTCCGATCTAGCACTTCTAGCATGTTGCTAAGAAGCTGTGCGCAGGCTTCGTGGTCAGGCTTATTTGACTTGTCATCCAGCTGGCCACTTAGCTGATCTATCAGCAGAGGCAGAAGCGCATCTCTGCATTCTGAAAAATGGAACAGGACAATGTCACGTAGACAGTTCTTGAACACTAGAAGTATTAGCCACCACAACAAGGTAACTTTCTGCTCTTCACTCATTTACTAATATTAAAATCATGCAACTGATAAAACAACTAAGTATGAGCAGGCATATTACAGCTCAAGTTGCATCACTTCCAGTTAAATACATTGCAAAAGAACCTTCTCTTTCAACATATACAGTAAAAAGATATGGCTTTTTTCCATTTACAATTTGGGACCCTATGGTGCTACACTGATACAAAATTAAAAAAAATCCTTGCCCCAAAGAGCTTGCAATCCAAGTGTAAGGGCCCTGTTATATGTTAATTTTGGGCAGCTCTTGGAGCTCACAACCAAATGGTGGGCAAAATACAGCCCATAGGCTGGATCCAGTCCAGGGAGGGACTTTGTCTGGCCCATAGCAGGTCCCCGTGCTCACACCTGGCTCTGGTACCATCCAGCCCATGACATGCCACCACCCCTAGGCATGCAGCGGGGCTAGGGCAGCTCTGTGGCCGGACTCCATTTCCTGGCAGTGGCAGGTCCTTCCAGCTGCCACCACTACTGGCCCAGGCCCCAAGGAGACCAGTCGCGACCAATGTGGGCAGGGCCTGAGCACACAGCCCTGGCCCTGACCTATGCAAGGGGTGGGGAGGGGGAAGGGAGAGTGCTCAGGATCCCTGCAATGCCTGCTTCGGACCTGCCAGCCCTGGCCACAATAGAGTGCTGGCAGCTGGGCAGAAGTTGCTGCTGAGCACAGGGAAAAAAGGACCTGACAGCAGGCACAGCCGCCTCCCCCTCACTACTGCCAAGCCCTTCTTACTGTGACTGCCCACAGGGGGCCCGAACTGGCCCAGAGGCGACGCTGGTGACAGCAGCAGCTGTGAGGAGGAACCACAGGACAGCCCTGCACAGGCTCCAGATGGCCACAGCAAGAAGAACCCTGGCAGAGGCAAAGGGGGAGGCAGCCACACCTGATGCCAGGTCCCACTTTTTCCCTGTGCCCAGAAGCAGCTTCTGCCCTGCCGCCATGCTACCTGTGCACCTGGGTCACCAACGCTGAAGCCAGACACAAACTCCAGCCCCTCCTCAGGCTGATCTGCCCCTTCTGAAGCTGTCACAGGCCCATGCCAGCTCCCCACCCGCATGGCCCTACCTCACATAGGGAGGTTTGGTGTTGCACAGGCGAAGGAGGGTGCGGACCTGGCCTGCGACAGCTCCCTGAAACTCCCTATGTGGCCCATGGGCCTAAATAATTACCCATCCATGTCTTAATCCCTGGACTGTCTGCACGTTAACACCTTTATGTGGTTTAAAGCACTCATCATGCAGCTCAAAGTTACGCCACTCCAGGGTTGAACTGCATAACTCAGCTCTTGCTCCATTAAGGTGTGGATACTCCCACAGATGTGCCACACAAGTGGAAGGAGCAACTGCAAGCTAGCACTAAGCCAATCAACATTTGTGCAGCTCACAGTGCAACATGTAACAAGGCCCTAAGAGAAGAGACAACTGGTGAATACAGACAAAGACACAGAAGGAAACAATGAGACAAAATTAGTCAACTGCCCAACTGTTGTCAAAGTTTTCTTTTATCCTTGCAGGTTTAACGGTAATGGAACCTTTTAAGCAGGTACGTGAAAGAGACGGTATCACTGATTATACAGCCGAGAGACAGGCTTGACTGACAGATGTTCATTTGGGAAGATGTATTCTTTGAAGTACTTGAAGATTTTGACAGGCTACTCACCTGACTGCTTAAACAGATCACTCTCCACTACCTTGGTCATGCAGTTGAGCTTTTGACGAACCAGCTGGTTCTCAGGGACACTTTGGATAAACTTGCTGAAGAGAACGCTAGAACCAAAACCACAAAGTAGACAGATGGTCACTACCTGATGCCTCTGACATTGTTCCACCTACTGTTAACACTGCCCTGCACCTGGTTTTTACTGAGGCAGTTGTGCCACTGTGTTGACACCTGTGATCACACCTGTGAAAATGGTCTTAAGGTAAACTGATGCTGACTCTCAGGTTATGTGGTTTCACACAGCTTATAAAAGAAAGTTCAATAAACTGAACACAGCCCCAGGCAATTTACCTTGTGTTCCAATATGAGATACACAAGCTTGTCACAAAATCTTGCCAGTCAGGGCACAGACTCTTTGTGCTCCCATGTTTACATACTGTATTTTAAATTCCCACCTCCACTCCCCTCCTTAAAAAAAACTCTAAGCAAGTTGAATTTTGCAAAGCTACTCCATAGGGCTGTTGTAACATGAAACACAGCCATTTAGATTGCAAGAGGCATGACCTTCCTAATATCCCCTAGTTAAAAAGAGATGACTCCCTTAAATCCTACCTAGTGTATACACTGTACATTTGAAATCCTCTCACTTGTATCTGAAGATTATTTGCATCAAAAATCAGGCATGTGGAACTGACGGTACAAGGAACACTCTTTATACTGAAGAAAGGAAATCTACAGCACTACACAGTTCTTGAACGAATACATTTTTGTATATCTCTCACTGCCACGCACTCATGGCATGGTATTTGGGAACCTCAGAAATAATGATGAAAAGTTTGTGGAAATTTACAGATTGGATTTTGTCCGCGTGACTCGGCATCCCTTGGATTTCAGGTTTGGACAAAGCCTCAGAACTCACAGGTAAGCTCAGGTGGATCCATCCTAATTCCTTTGGGCTACCAGTAGAAGACTGTTCCGTGCCTTCCTTTACACCCTTCTAAGAAGTCTCCCAAATTCATGGAGGTGGTACTCATCTTGTAATTACCAGAGTTGTTTATATAATGAGAGTGTCTAAAATTCCCCGCAAAAGTTTCACTGTTTTTCATAGGTTTAGATAATGCTCAACAGTCACCTGAGCTCAACCGGGTCAAACACCAACTTGACATCATTTATAATGCTCGGTAAGTACTTCAGAGCTGCACCCTGTAAGAGGGGGAAAAACAAACAATATACATGTATACACACAAAAGGAGGCAAATTAGATTCATCCATTCTTTCTAAAAGAGTGCAAAGTCACTGTACAGGGCTCACAGCAGCAGTGCCAGATCTGGTTTTACTGAGAGCACCTGCAGTATGTTGGCTTACTATGTCTACGCAGTCAAAGAGACTCAGCCACCACGTATCTGTAGGGAAAAGCTGATAAAGGTGGCAAGTGAAGGCACTTTAGTCAAGAACTCTTTTTTTCTTTCTGGCTATGAACATACTGCTGTATTAGAAACTAGGCCTCCTGAAGCCTAACAAGGAAAATGTCAATTAATTTAATTTGTTTTAGTGTCCTATGCAAGTGACACTATCTTGGGTCCTCATCAATGTTACACCTAAATGTCTCTCAGCAATACTAGTAAAGATCTTCTTACGCTTTCCTGCAGGGAAGCTCTCTCCCCATTTGCTTTCTTGCTCTGTACTGCAGTAGGAATGGGGCATCACTATGTAGACATCAACGTTTGGATATTAACTTCTATAGCACCCCCAAATGCTAAACTGAAAGAGCTTTAGAGTCAATCTTTCCGACAAACAGTGGAAAGCATTTTGCTACTGTAAACAGGAGAAAAGCCAAGACTTCTGCTACGCTGCCCCCACCCAACCAGAAGGCTCTCATTAAAGTTTACACAGAAAAAACAAATAAACACACACAGTAAAGCTTCTCATTTTCTTTTTCTATGACAGATATTTCCATAGTGGACTGGCATCAGCTTGTTCTCCCTATCATTCACAAGCTCGAGTACCATCAGCCAAACTACCCTTCTCCTCGTGTTCTGTTATCCTGGCTGTCTGCTAGCTTCCTCCACAAAAAGCAGCTGCATTTTAGTGGCAGGCTTTTGGCAACGGTTGCCGATTCTGCAAAGTTTACTTCACTTGCATTACTACCAGAGGAGTTTTGGGGAAACTTGAATGTTGGCTGCTCAATGCCCTCTGCTCATCAGCATAGACATGCACTAGTTTTCAGAACAGGCTCTGCACCAACCTTAATTTTGACAGCCTCCTCTAGCGGCTGGTCCATGAGGATATTGAAAGAGAGGAACAGCTTGCGGATGGCATCATTAAACTCATCCCCATCTTCACTTTTCCCATAAAATCTAAAAAAGCAGCAACACTGCATTGTTCATATGCACAGACTCAGGACAAGGAATGAAACAGCGTCAAAGTGGTTTATGTACATATTATCTTTCTAATAACTTCTTAAAGTGCTCTTTTACTATGAAAAGTGACTGTAGAAATGGCATTGTGAAGTTCTAGTGCTATGGCATCAACAACCTGCAGTTTACTGGTAGGAGTAACAGATTTGAAAAGATGTGTTTTTCTAACTGACAGCGTTTCAGACTCAGCCTGGAATCTATCATTCAAGTAATATCCTGCCTGTCTACAATAAATCACGAATAATGAGGCTTCTGTATAGTTTACAAATTCTGTTGCTGGTGGTGCTAGAGCCAGGTAAGTATTTATCTCATTCCATGATGGACTAACAAGAGAAAGCAGTACCAAATGGTCACTTTCCAACTTCTGATGGACCTCTGATCAAGGCAATGTAAGCTACTCCATGTTAACTGTATAATGCACAGTTATATCCAGTAGCTGAGCTTACATTTTGACATCTGCAGCAAAGATCTCAATGGGAGGCCTCCCTCATACTTAGTAAATGCTTCCTTTGAATGGATTAATGTAAAACAGTATTCTCTGTCACCAACAAAAAATACCAAGAGTTCCTCTTCAGACTCTTTAGAATTATTATTGATCTTCAAGAAATGTATTAGAAAAAGGTACCAAAAACACCTTTAAATGAGGAAGCTGCCTAAACAAGGCAGGCATTTAGAAACAATGAAATTTTTGGTCTCTTATCGGCATCAGCGTATGCAGTTCAGAATCTCATTTTCACATTACATGCTTACATTGTTTTCATTTGTACTGATCACACTCTCTAGCCACCCAAACAGAATAAAACAAAACAAGCAGGAATAAAAGACAGAAATAAACATTTCTTGAAAATCTGGGGCTTGATAAGGGCGAATAAAAAAATCTAGATAGGAATGTTTGCTGATGGTATGAACCAGAAGCAGCTCAACTGACTTCCAATTGTACTAGCTAGGGATGGACCTGCCAATCTTCAGCACAGTCTCATGGGTCTCCTGTGCCTGGCTCCACGATCAGACCTGAAGAAGACTGCCTTGGATTCGAAAGCTTGTTTAACTCTATCCAACTACATAGCTGGTCTAATAAAAGATATCTCCCAAGGAAATCTTTGCCGCCTCTCACCTCAGGTAGAGTATACGTGACTGAACAATGAATCGGAACAGGTACTTCAAAGCTTTTAAAGCAGCGAACAGCAATTCTGTCTTGCTGGAGTCATCTGCATTTCCTACATAATAGTTCAGTACTTTGGTGAGTTTCCTGTGGGAGGGAAAAGGGGAAAATAAGAACAAATGTAGTTACAGGGGAAGCTGAACTGGGCATCTCTAACCTACAGAGGAAGTGTGATCTGGTGCACAGAGTTGGGGACCAGATTCACTTTGGGAGCTTGAGCAAGTCTCACAGAACCTGATTTTCAAATTTCTCAGCACCCAGCAGCTGCCAACATCTGACCTCATCTGCAAGTGCCAAGTCCCTAGCTTTTGGGCCTTTTAAAAAAAAAAAAAAAAAAATTCCAGAGCATCAAGCACCTACAACTCCTACTGCCTTTAAGACCCCGACAATCCACTACTTCTCAGACTTAGCCCCTTTGCCCATGTAGCCATGAATTTATTTGCAGACATAGAAGGAAAGCAGCTTCCTCACTGGAATATGGGAGTTCCTAGGGTATCAGTAGAAAAGTACTTCGGGAACCCTGGACAGCCAATGCACGTGCACATCAGTGTTATTCACCATCTGGTCCCTGTCCAAGCAGAAGAGTGATGAGAGTGTGAGAGACTAATGTTCAGGCAAGCCCTTCTTCTCTTCATTAAACAAGCTCCAGCCATCCAAGGCTCTGTGCGAGTAATCATTGCCTGCACAACAGCTTCTGCATTTTTCTTCCCCTCCTCTTTGAACTGGCAGGATGAAAGCTATTACTTCATAAACCCTTTTGGCATATAAGGTGTAGGAAGGACACTATGTAATTCTCCAGTCCACTTGGTGTTATGTGTATGTTGTACTGCAGAGCCAAGCTGAAAGCTAGGCCAAGCAATAATAAAGCTGAGAGAGAGCATGTCCATAAATCAGACACAAAAAGGTTTATTTATAGTGGGGAACAAGAAGGATGATCAATCTCCCACAAGCTAAGGGGAGGAAAAAACAACCCCTCTGCTGAAAGTGATTGTACAGCAAGTTCAGAGAAGGAAAAAACAACTACACAGAGTAATGGGCTTTAGGAGTTCCTGGTAGCGTGGGGTCCTATCTAGAACTCTCTCCTCTAGGGTGACATCTGACAAAACTTCTCCCATCTGAAAACAGAGATAATGACAGTGATCCACTTTTCTATCCACAGACGAAAATGGCTAATGGAGGAGCTTAGCTATTCACATCCATGTATCTGCAGGTCCATAATTCAAAGTGTGTTCTTGCAACTCTGCACAGGATGTTTAAACATTTACGGGTAATGTCAATGATGTTACATTTTTAAACAACACATCGCTATTTGGTACTTTGTTCTGCTCTGAAACTTCATTAACCTGCTCAAATCTGGGCTGCACTCCATTTTCTGCATCTTTACTGCAACAATGAAAAATACCAGCTTCACTGCTATAACCACCAGGGAGGAGATATACATTTCTGCTTCCCTTTCCTACCTTCCCTTCTCACCTCAGATGTGGACAATATGCAGGGAGCATTTCAAACTTACTATCTGCTGCTCAACTTCCTTTTTTTAAAAAGCCAAGGAGAAGGAGGAAATGCTGGCAAGTCCATCAAAACTCAAGATGGTGGAATGCAGTCGGACAAGTCTCAGTTACTTGACTTGCTGCTTTAAATGTCAGTGTACCATTTTCTACTATTAAAATATTTCAATAAGATCAGCTTTCTGTGGTAGGTAAGTGCAATTTTCTTCTACCCTGAAAATAAATGTGAACAGAGTGGGATCATATAGCTATATGTACTCACGTGGTTTGGGTTACCTTTTATTTCTACATCATCTACCCTAACAGAAGTGAGAGGTAACACCTCTGAGATAGGCTACCCTGTGGGTTTGTGGTTACTGATACTTACACATACGCCAGGGTAGCACTGAAGTGCTTGTAAATATACGTTTCAAGTACAGGGTTAAAATGCTGGAACTTGATGTCTCCGATCAAAGAAATAATAAATACCTGTCAAAAAGCCAAAAGGAAACAGATGTACTGAAGTGTGTGACCTTAAGCTAACCGTTCTGTACCTCATGTTAGCCACATGCCAATTGTTCTGCTAGTTGCTTGCTTTTTACCTTCTCAGTTTTAACATTACAGATGGTATTGTGCAGTTGCTGCTATTAGCTGGAATGAAATCATCTCATCTCTCAGAAATTGACCACTGATAAAAAAAAAAAACCCCATGAAGGTAAACTCAGCTGCTATATAAAGTGGCACTGATATTCTTTAAGTGGTACTGACACTACATCGTACGATGATAATGCTACTGCACAAAGTTAGAGAAGAATGGTGCCACTGGATATACTGATTTCCAAATAAGGTTCAAAATTTAGCCTCTGATCGCCTGGACCCATTAAAGAGCCACTGTAGTGCTTCTTATCCTTAGCAAAACTAAGGCATGGATAATTGTATTCTGCCTCCCTACATGCCCCTTGCAGTTTCATTTGGGATACAATGATTTTCAACCTCTTTCCTATGCTGCTATGTACTGTTGCTTAGCAACATTAAACAGCTGCTTCCTTGTTTCACTGTGCACCAAAGGAAGGTGCATTTCAAAGATAAATAACAGTTCCCTAGATAGGCTGACTTCTTTTATAGTTTTCTGCATGCCTTACTGCGATCTGCGTGTGATAGGCTTGCTCAAGGTAGAGGCATTATTGCAGAAGAAATAGGAATTACACTGGGACTCAGGAGACATGGATTCTATTTCCAGCTGTACCACAGACCTGCCCTATCACCTTGGAAAAGTCACTTCATTCTCTGTCTTAGTTTGATGAAAAACATTGCTACTTCCCTCCATTGTAAAATGACTTTTGATTTACCAATATAAACTTTAATGTAAAGGCATTACCATTATCTTATGCAAATATCAATCATTATCCTTCATCATATTCACTGAATTGGTTATGTTGTTTTCTCAGATCCCTAACTCCCAGTGATATTTGAGGAATCTTTGCTAGGATAAATGACAGTTCAATGTTTCGTTTCATAAAATGAAACGCCCATCTAGTGGAAGCAGCAGGAAACAAAATAATAGTCTGAAAAACTGCCTGAAATAAAGGTATTTTGGGATATACTGACAACAACCACTTACCAGTGCATCAAACACAAGGAAGTCATAGGTTTCATTGTCTGACATCTCCATCATTATGTTGAAAAGTGCATCAAGAGTATCCTGTAAAAACTAGAGAAGGGGGTGGGCAGAGGTCACAGTTGCTGAAATCCTCGCAATAATCCACGCTTCTTCCCCCTCCAGAAACGCATGGAAACAGAAAGGACTGACCAAGTCCAGCGTAAGTGTAAAGGTATAAGAACAGAACGTAGGATCAGCAGGACAGGAGAAAGCACTGATGAGTGTACCAGTAAGTGCCTGACAAACTAGTCCTTCCTAGTTTCAGTCCTTCCTGAAAAGGTCAATAAGGGAAACAGAAGGAGAGAGACTCCGGGGGCACATCCAGGCAAGCACAGATGTGCAGTATGTGGCACGCACCACACTGCACATGCAGGAATTCCCCATGCTGCTACTTTGCAGTGCAGGGAGTTCCTCTGACCCCAGGAGATCTTGGGGTCAAAAGAACCCATATCTAAAAAGAGTGGGGCAGCATACTTGGTGGCAGTACACACCACCCAAAACCAGTGCCTGGGCAGCTGAAGCCATGCTCTGGCTGCCAGCCAGGCTCTAGGCTGCAGGATCACTGCAGCTGCAGCTCCTGGAGGCCCTCCAGGACTCCAGGTAAGGCTGCTGGGGCCAGCACAGTTGCCCCAGGCTCCCCTACCCCACTCTGGTGCATGGCAAGTTACCCATAGCGCACATGGCATGGGTGTTCCTGAGGGACAAGTAGCAATGGCACAAGGTGTACTACTGGTACTTGTCCCTGGGGAAATGCACATTCCCACTCATGGGGACGTACCCCCAGCGTCTGAAGACCACACTTGAACCCATATCAACTCAGACATACCTTTTCTTTCTTTCCATTCCATGTCCTCTTGTTATTTGGCACATCATACAAGTATGTGAGTAGTTGGCTATGCCTGGGCACTTGAGATCACACCTAATTTTTGCCTATGTGCAACCTCTGATTGCAATAGAACAGGACAGCTTCATGCAGTGTACCAAAGGATCAGTCCCATAACAACACGCTTGTCAAGCATAACATTCCTTTGGCAATCAACATGGGGCCTGGCTTTTCACAAACATGCACGATTTTCTTCAGTCACTCAGCAACTCAGGCAATGGATTGTTTGCAAAATACAAGTGATCTGAAAAGCAGATTATCCTAAACCTAATGAAGTTCCCAAATACAAGATTTTAAATTTTCCTGGAAATTCCAGCTTTCCATAGCTTCAGACATATTCCTCAAGCCATTTAAGCTATAAACGTTTTGGAGAGCTGGCACTCTTCCTAATGCATGCGTTCATTGCCAAGCATACAAGAGTCCCTCAACCATAACTGGGACCCCCTTAATGCTACATAAATACTACTCCGAATTTTCTTGTATTTTACATTCTGCAAGAATGTAAAATATGTGCATGATAGCCCCAATCCTGCAAACACTTGTGTGGGCTTAATTTTAACCAGGAGAGTATTCCACTGGGATAAACAATTTGGGGTGGGAATCAGTTTTGGCATTTTTTGGTTATGACCTTGTACAACTGCTGGCACGGTGGGGTTCTGGCCCCACAGCAAAAAACAAACAAACAGTAATTTGAGATTAAAGTTAAGCATGTGTGTAAGTGTTTGGTGGGGGTTGGAACCCGAGTCTCTATTAATGGACAAAAACTTGCAGATACGGTGCTTGTACCTTTACAATTTCTCCTCCTTCTACCTCCATCAGCTTCTTTAGGTTGCATGCTATGTTCCGAGAGTTAGAACGCCAGTTCAGCAAACCCAGCAAATCAACTATCAAGGACACAACATAAAAAAAAAAAAAAGATAGATTACGTAAAGGAAAAAACAAAAAACAAACTAGCTGATTTACATTAAGGGCTGCAGAGCAATGACGAAGTGGTATTTGGATTGGTGCTTATTTTTAGAAACATCTTGTAAAATAATAAAAATCATCACACTACAATGTAAAGAACATTGCCTTTTAATGGCTTTTTTTTGCCTTTGCCAGAGTTAACCTTGCAATTAAAGGCAAACTTTGCTATGATTTTATATCTTATGACATCTAATAGGTTGTTTAGCATGCTCTTACTTAGAAGATATCCTCAAGCTGAGAAATCCATCATACTGTATTGGTTTTGCTGAGAAATGTACTTGTGTTTACTTCAGAACAGACTCTTGAGAGTATTTCTTCAAGCTACCAGTTTAAGCCTCTTGTATACAGTAAGTTAAACTGTAGACTGTTTATCATGCCTTTGAACTATCCAAAAACAATAAAAAAACAGCAGTCAAGTTATTCAAAGCAGTTTAGGAGATCCAGACCCATTATCCTCCATCCAAGTTAATGGAAGACTCATCTAAAAATCACCTTGACTGCTCAGGTAACTTCTCACTAAACTGGACTGCTGTCTTTGAATGGAGGAACACATGCACAATAAACAATCCTGACAAAGAATGGCAAATTCAGAGGTGAATCCAAGTGAAACCAGGGCTAATGTAACTTACGCTTGCTCCCCCACCCACTGAGTACGACTCCTTCTAGATGTATATAGGTTGTCTTAATTTATCAACTCTCACAATCTCTTATCAACACATTTACTCACCTACACAGATCACCCACCACCTCTGAATTTGGACTTGTTGCAACTAAATTAAAAGGGAGCATAACGTGTGCAAACAAAGCAGCTCCATTTCCTTCATTCTTAACAGAAGTCTGCACAAAGGCATAGGTGAAAGTACTCTGTTAAGGGCATGTCTACACTGTAACCCAAAAGGAACACCTGCTGCAAATCCATGCTAGACCTAGTTTAGGTACTGAGAATAGTAAACCCCAGTACTAGGGGCTTCTCCTAGTTTGGGGTGGGTTTATAGCCAGTGCTGCTGCCTTTTCACTGCAACTGGTACCCGAGCCAGGTACAGAAAATCTAGTACAGTTATGCCTGTATCTGCAGCAACAGCAGCTCCTAACTGCAGTGTCATTGTTCCATTCATTAGCACGGGGAAGAGACTAGACACCTTGCAGATAGTTCTCCCACCACAGCCTGAAGCTTCCATCCCATTGCCAATGCCAGACCTACCCTTCTGGGTCAGTTTAGTAGAGCAGATCAGGGTGGCAATCTGGAAGCTGTCTTTTGTGCTCTCTTTACTGGGTGTGAAGCTGGCTAAATGGTGTAGGTTTTTGCCTGGGGGGCCATCCTTCTCCTCCATCTCCACTTTTGTGCCAGGAAGAGTTAAGTAGAATTTAGCATCTTCCATTTTCTTGTTATCACCCTGTTGGTTGAACACAGATGGAGAAGTCACTTAAAAGTATTGTTACAAACGTTCACACAGAAGGCAGCCATGCTAGGCACAAACACTTTCCAACACAGTGGAAAGTGGTAGGGCTCTGCGAAGCTTCGGTCCCCGATTTGATTTGGCAGAGATTTGGCCCAATTCGGTAACTGATTCGATTCAGATTTGGAGATTCAGAGGAGCCTTTAATCTCCCTGAATCAAACTGGAACCCTACAAATCGATTCAGGAGATTTGGCAAGACACAGCTGTAAGTGTTTTTTCTACATACCTCTAGGTATCAAATGGCTTGTGAGTGCTGTGATGCTGGGGCACATGGAGTATCCCACAAAAGCATGAGGGGCTCCCCAGCCCGCTCTGCAGCAGACCCAGAAGTGGACCAGAAGTGGTCCACTTCTGGGTCTGCTGGGAAGTGCACAGGGCCCC